TCCTGTATCATATCACGATAAGAAGAACATCAGTTTAAAGGCAGCAGCTGTTTCCCTTTCATCCTCTCTCCTTCTCTCTCCTTCTGCATCCCTCCATCCTCCCACTGCTTTCACAATGGTGTGCTAAGCCAGGGAAGATAGGGCAAATCCCTCCTCTGAGCAGAGCAGGCAGCAGAGAGTGAGACAGAGCGAGTGACTTCCTCAAACACTCCTCTCTCCTCACTCCTTTCTCCCCCTCCATTTATCTGAATCCAACCAATCAGCTGGCAGACTTCAGTAAACCTCTGTGTCTTAGCTTGTGTGTGTGTGTCTTTCAACCTGTGGTGATGATGTCACAGAAGATTCCTGCTTCCTTAGCTACTTGCTTGCATGTCTTGCTTCCTTAACACCTTGTCTCCTTCACTCAATATGTGTGCATTACTGCCCTGCACATTTAATGCAGAGACACGAGTCTGTGGCGAGCTAAATTAGCATTTTTTTAATAAATGATTACCTGTATTTATATACATTCATATCAGGAATTCCCTCACAAGTTTTAGACTAATTAAAGGAATCTTTTTGAGCATGCATGGGCCTAGCATGACACCTTAAATTAGCATGTATGGCTTGGTCCAAATGAAACTAAATCCATAAACCGGCATCTTTAAAGCTCAATAATGAACATGGTGGAAAGAAATGAACATTAAAATCAATGTATGAGGATGGCAAGAGTGGCGGCCATTTTTGTTCGTACCATTGCCATTGCTGTTTTGTAGTTGGCTAACTTCTTTATAAACTAAATTGACTTGTGGCAAGTTGCAGACTTACTGGAGTTAGGTTTTGAAGTAATGACTGCAAAATCAGTTTTTTGTCCAATCCTGTTCTACTTTCTATCAAATTGTAATTTTTGCAGTTTGATTTTTGAACCAAATAAACAACAAACATTTTAATTGATCATTAATTTTCTTAGGTGCCAGGTGGACTTTGCAACATTTTAAAAGAGCCAGGAGTTACCTCTTTTTTACAGTCTTAATGCTAAGGTAAGACACATTCTAGCTTTACCTTCATGTTCACAGTACAGACATCACATTTGTTATCAATTTATCTCGAAGATAAATGTCAAAAATATTGGCTTACATTTCTAAAATATCAAAGAAATGTGTCAATAGTGGGAAATGTAATTGTTCATGCCAAGAAATCAACTTATCAAGATTGTAAGTGATGATATGAAGAATTGGTATTTCAGGCGGTCCAAATTGAATTAAATCCAACTATAGCCTAATGGATTTTTATAATGATTTGAAGGATTAGTTTGTGGCTGTGGCCTAATCACACCCACTGACTGTAATGCAAAAATGTCAACGGCATTCTCATTCTCTGTAAAGAAACCTGAATGGAGATGAGGTTTGTATGTATATAGTCAAATGAAACAAAGATGTATTTCACTTACAATAATAGGCATGTGTTTATATCTATGGGTCCAAACGTGTCAGTATATGCACATTTAAGACTGACTGCACACTGCAGCACAGCTCAACACACACACACACACACACACACACACACACACACACACACACACACACACACACACACACACACACACACACACACACACACATGCAGTTATCATCATAAATAACACTTTGTCGCCATCTATTGGAGATATTAGGCTTCACAGGAAACAGGACTGCAGTCAACCTTTAACTTGATTTGAAAATGATTGGTTTAAAAAAAAAAAAATCATTTACGATTCAATACACTTGTTCTGTGGTCCTTTAACGTAGACTGTTTGGCTTCTTAGACTCCCTACAATGCAGTTTGGTGGGGAAAAAACAATATCAAGCCATCAAATCTCCACAGAAAAAGTTGTTTAAGTGAAAGCCATTATTACTTAATCTTCTTTATTAGTGAATCTGTTTCTCTTTGCGCCAGGCTGCCTGGTGTCGCCTGAGTTCAAACCATAGGGTTCAAACCATAGACTGTAAACAGGTGCACAGGAGGCAAGATGCTGCCTTCAGGTGTAGGGAGGAAAATTGCAAATCTCTAAATCCAAAAAATATGTAGTCAAGTGCAGGCATGAAGTCAGACAAAATTGAGTTTTAGACACTATTACAAATGTTTCTGTAAGGGGGTTTGTTTAATTCGACTTATACCCAATAATAACGTATACTGCAAATATAACAGTAAACAAACATAATTACATTTGTCTTGGCCGCCGAGTATGACGTGGATACATTTAAAGTACTGAAAATAACAAAACATCTGATGCATACAAAATGCATTGTAGACAAATGCAGTTGAAACAAATAACAATTTCTTGAAGCACAAAGCGAATTTAGCAGTCTACAATAACTTTCAACCTTACAGGATATTATTAGGAATTAACATTTTCGCAATAATAACTTTGAAACTTAAAAGTCTGCGTTTGAGTGGATCCCCTGAATGCAGCATCAGCTGGTGCAGCACCGTGCTGACGAGCCGTTGCTTGTGGAAACAGCTGGTAGTTTCTGTCAGCTTTGCTTCATAGCAGCATTGGGAGGAATAAAAGTTCACATTTGACTGAAAACTGACGGAGTGTGGTTGGTTTTGAGTCACTGCTGCTGTTTCACCAGGCACCGGGACATGTCATCCTGTGAAAGCCACTTTAACGGGCACTTTTTAATCACCGACGGAGCTTATTATTAGACGCTCTACGCACCGGTGCTAACGCTAGTGAACGTTAGCTAACTTTCTCTACTCCCATAGCAACTAGCACAGGTGTTCCGTTGGACTAACTGTCGGTTTTCTGACAGTGTAGGGCGAGGTTTCTGCTTTACCTCAGCATGACTCATGTTCATTATAAATTCTCCTCTAAACTCAGCTACGACACGGTGGTTTTTGACGGCCTGCATGTCACGCTGAGGGACCTGAAGAGGCAGATCATGGGCAGGGAGAAGCTCAGAGCCGGGGACTGCGACCTGCAGATCACCAACGCACAGAATAAAGAAGGTAATAAATAGCATGGTGGTTGTGTGTGTGTGGGGGGGGGCTGATAACGCTGTGTTTATCCTGGAGGTTTTGAACTTTGGAAGAAAACACGTGGTCCAGTTGTGACAGCTCTGCGGTTAGAGGGGGCTGCTTTTAGTTTGACAGGGGGTCCAAAAAAAGTCAAACAAAAAGAGGTCTAATGTGCATGAGCTGTGGTGTAAAGTAACTAAGTAGATTTACTCAAGTACTGTAGGCTACTTAAGTGCACATTTGAGGGACTGACTCCTTACTCCACTACAATTCAGAGGTAAGTAGTGTACTTTTACTACACTACATTTACCAATAGCTAGAGTTACTTTGCACAAGCTACCCTGCAGTATACAAAGTCATTAAAACTAGCTACACATTTACCAGCTGTGATAACACTTTAATGCATCAATAATTATAATCATATCATATTATTGAAATGTGCCATTTTGCCTAATGAGTACTTTAATTAAGGTGCCAATACTTTTACTTGAGTAACATTTTTATTGCAGGACTTTTACTCCTCACAGAGTATTCCTGCACTCTGGTACTCCTACTTTTACTTAAGTACAAGATCTGAGTACTTTTAAACACGTGGTTCAGGGTTGACAGCTGTGTGTTGAGAGGGGCCGCTGCGTCATGTCTTTTAGTTTGTCAGGGGGTCCAAAAAAAAGTCAAAGCAAGAACCGAAAGGCATCTAATGAATGGGCCACATTCCTGCTGCATTCAGGCCTCGTGTCATTAATTACATGGCATGGTGGTGGGGGGTCAGCAGGTCATGTATATCTCAGAGAGATGTGGGTAAAAATAGAATAAGTGGGGTAGGACCACAGACTAGTCATGACCAAAAGTCAAGACACACACACGGATTCAAATGAATCATCAGTGGTAAACAATAAAAGTTAAACTCAATAATTCAAGTAGAGAAAAAGAGTGACATGCAGATAAAACCTGATTATCATCTATGAATGATAAGAATCACTTCAGTGTGTGACCAATATCCTGCAGATAAGCTCATAAACTCTTCATATTCTGAGTAATGTGTTTCCACTGAAAGCACAACCCAGAGGACAAAAAAGGTTAAGATGTTATGTAAAAGTTTACAGACATGTTTACTAAAAGTGAAGTAAAATCGAAAAGAAAGAGCATCATGCTTTTATAGGAAGGATTTTCAGGCTTGTTGCATCGGATGTCAGTCTTATAAAAGTGCTGTGTCATGCAGACTGGTTTTCTGAAGGATGTAAAGGGTCTTAATACTTGTTTAATTCACAAGTTAAACCAGTTTACCAGGCTGTACAAATGAATATAAAGTATGTATTATCCTGTGTAGAAATGTGAATATTCACATCCAAAGTAAATTTGTATAACTAGAAGAATGAAGTACCTAATCTGCTTAACTTACTGTAATGTAATTATTTTGCTAACGAGTAATTTCTTTTAAAGCCAATGATGTTAAAACAAAACAATCCAACTAAAACTTTAAGCTCTCACGTTCTCCACCGCTCCCTCTCAGAGTTCACAGATGACGATGGTTCGATCCCCAAAGGCTCCTCCGTCATCGTCAGGAGAATCCCCATCGTCGGAGGAAAGCCAAACTCAAGCAAGACCCGCAACCTGTAAGTGTCAAAACGTTTTCCCATAGCTGAAGTCCTGCACTAATATTATTATAGATATCCCTGAGAATCCATACGAGATACCTTTTTAATGTAAGTTCACTCTTTAAAGGACTCCACCAAGATACTCAGATATAGATAAATAACACTTGAGTGAGTATTGAAGCTATTAGTTGATAAACTTGATTTGTTTATTAGTTCTTATAACAAATATTTTGTCCATGCTAGTGGCAGAAACTGCTGTTTTCAGCCTCTAACATATGTAAATTATTTCTAGCTTTTCTCTGTTTCTGACAATAAAATATTTAATACATCACCTTTGACATTGAAAAATTTGGATGGACATTTTTCCCTTTTTCTGAAACTCTATAGACCGAACAATAAACAAACAAAATAATATCCAGATCAATTGCTAATGAAAATAATCAGCCCTAGTAATTATGGCACAGGCGCTAATATTCCAAACTAATACCAGATCATGTAGACCAGGGGTACTCAAACTTTTTTGTTAAAGGTCCACTTGTGAATTTTATACAAGGTCAATGGTCCGGATCAATGCCAGTAAAGTCCCCCCCCCCCACACCCCCGGAGCGGAGCAACGAAACTGAAATTAAGAAGCAGTTTCGGAGCGCTATGCATGTACTTTAGTCAGGAGGTTTTAAAGTGCTATATAAATAAAGTTGGATTGGATTAATCTACCTTATTTGGGGGCCCCCTTCTGGTTCAAGCACTTGCCTGTTGGTAAACGGTGCCCCTGTATACACACAGACATTCAATACATACAGTATCATGGCTTGAACTAGTGGGAGAAATGGCACTGTTTGTCTGTAGCCAATGCCTTGAACCTCTGCAAAAATGGCATTAGAAGCATTAGAAAGTCAAGGTAACCTTGTGGTTAACTCAAATGTGTGTGACACTCGCGCACACAAGTAAATATATGCACGTTCATTCTCAGAACGCGTCAGACACAAGACAATATACATTAAAGGGGACCTATCATGCAAAATGCACTTTGTGATGTATTTTATACATAAATATGTGTCCCCGCCCGGTGCGTCGGGGAACTCACGCAGCGTCAGAAAATAAAACCCGCTCTCTTTTCCTCCGTACCCAAATCTTTTAAAAACAGAGGTACAACGAGCGGATACAGATTTGCTGCCAATCTGACGTCAAATCGGCCGCGGACCCACAGAAAATTGCTATCAGAAACAATGCCTGACGCGTAATGAACGTGTTTTGGACGTAATCTCGTCTTTGTTTACATTAGCAAGCCTCGCTAACACTCAGAGCTAACCTGTACTGGAGAGCACATGTGTTTAAAAAGCAGGAAATAAAACAAGGAACTCACCTTGTGATAAACCTGCAAGAGAAAAAGCATTTGAGCTCCATACTGTTTCAGAAATAATCCTTGATGTGGATTAGAACAGGATGGCGTTTTATCACAGCAGAATTTAACTTTATCTCCGGTAGAATTCTGATCAGGCATTAGCTCCGCCTCCTCTTTTTTTTTTCAAGCTAAGGACCCAAAATCCGCGTTTCTCTAACAGGGCTGCACAAGAGGGGTATGAGCAGTATGAGGCATGGCTACAATGGGTGATCTGTTTCATATTTTAAGTAAAAAACTTCACAGACCTATATTTGTATAGGTATGGCCCTACAATATATTTTTTCCAATATAGCATAATAGGTCCACTTTAATTTACATCAGAATCAGAGTTGATTTTTTTTTATAATGGGACACAGGGTTCGGTCCGGATTGATTTCTAGTTCGGTCCGGATCCGGATCTTGGTCCGGAGTTTGAGAAGCCCTGATGTAGACCCTAAGCAGTGTACAAGTAGATTGCAGGTTAACAAAATATAGGAAAGGCCTTTGTTGTGTTTTTGAGTAGAAATGTGTCTGATCACAGTGGTGGAGAAAGAAATGCTATAAACATGATCGCGATGATTAATACCTAAATCTTTCAGTTATAGTCGAATGTGAGTTACACTGGGTTATTGCGTAACACTTCCATGACAAAATATGCTCACAGTAAAAAGGGAAAGAGTAGAACTCCATGTAACTCCAGGGTGACGTTCCCAGGGATTACCCAGATATTAGTCGGGCTTTGACAGGACAGCCAGCAGTGTGTGGGGTTTGTGCTTGGAAAGCAGGAAAGACCTCACTGGAACAGACTGGCGGTCATGTGATTAGCCCCGTCAGCAGCACCATGCAGACGGGTGGAGAATAATGAGAGCTACAGAGGTGCAACGCCACCCACAAGACTGAATGCAGCAAATAATTCTCCACGTGCACGGGCAGACTGACATTTACTCATTTGACTTAACTTTGAGTCATTTTAAAGGCGTTTACAAAGTACACCCAAACCCTTCATTTAAACTCATTGAAAATGTACTGTTAAAATAAACAGATGTGAGTAATTATCTTGCCATTTATCGGTCAGTTTATTGTAGTGAGGATTGTTTGTTTTATTGTTCAGTAAACGTCAACTTGTAAAGTCTTGATGACACTGAGATCTCATAGAAATAACCGACATAGTCTAAGTTTCTTTAGCCAAAGAAATATAATAATTTTCTTCAATCAACTCATGTTTTAACATGTTCATATCATTCAAGTTTATATCTTGTTTAGGGGCATTTCGGGTATGTAGGAAATCACCACCTGGAATGAAACCATTAATCCCACACTGCAAAGATCTTAGGCAACAAAATACTTTGTTAGGTTAAAGAGAAAGATGTCAGTTTAGTTATGTTAAAATAAGTTGACTTGTTTTTTACCCAAACCTGGGTGAAAGGCCTCTGTGTTTTCACCTTTTTAAAACTTTAGAGTCTTTAGAAAGTATTTGTATTAATTGAGCGATTCCCTTTTTTTGTTGTGATATAGATATTTTGTACGATATATTTCAGTTCTAATCTTTGGTTGCATTGTTTTACTATGTGAAGGACAACTGTTTTGAAATGAATGTATTGTTCTGTTTCAGTGAGCGATCTGACATCCAGACTAGCAACGCCTTTGGAGCCTTCAAAGCCGTACGTAACTTAACCCTAATCCCACCGCACCTCTTCACCCACAGCTCCACTAAACACACGTAGTTGTTAAAAATGGCCTCATATCTCTGCTTGAACATAAGCAGGAACGTGTGCTTTGGGTTGATTTGAAACAAATGAAACCCTAAATCAAAAATGTAAAGCCTCTTTTCGCAGTTTCACTTCTTGTTGCAAAGAGGAAGTAGTGTGCTTGTCAGGATTTCATTTACAGAGAGACACTGCTCTTATAGAAATCATATTTTAGAATGAATTAATACATTTGCAGTTCGACTGTGAAATAGAAATCAACAATGAACCATTAGGGAAAGTGTATTTGCTCTCCAACAGAGACTCTCAGCTGTTTATTTAACACGTTGCTGTGTCACCTCGACATCACCACTATCTATCTATCTATGGGGGGGGGGTGCAGCTCGGGCGGGTCAAACTTTATCATGCAGGCCAGCTACTCACAGCTGATAACCCTAACTGATGTTTTAAGAGCTGCTCCATCAACAACCACTGTTCAGTTGCCAAGGAAGACGTATGCAGATGCTTTACTCAAGTTAAAGTACCAAAACACTAGTATCGAAATAGTAAAAGTCCTACCATATAAAATCTTACTTAAGCAAAATCTACCTTAAGTAAGTAAAGTATCCACATACTGGGAAGTTGCTTTGTGGTATAACGGTACATACATAAACATAGTAAGAGAAATAAACATTTAACTAGAGCAACTATAGAAATATAATAAAACTGTTCTCAAACATAAGACAATGTGTAGAACACATACAATAAATATATGACTAATTACTGTGGAAATATGTACAGTACTTCTCAATTAAAAGTATTTAGCAGTTTTAAAATGTGTCTTTTTTGTTATACCTGCTTGCACTTGAGTCAAGTTACACTTTAATTTAGTTTTTTTATTTTGTGTATTGGATCTAATTCGGTTCCAAGATATGACTGAACCCACTGAATTATTAAATCTGTCCAAATAAAACATTATTATACCTAAATCTACAGAATAAGTGAGCAGATGCCCTACATGTTGTATCATTAACAGCCACCAAACTCTTATCATCCAATAAAGAACTTAATGTATTGAAAGTTTGCTTGTTTTGAAATAGAAATTCAACACTAACTACTAACTCCCTGGATAAAACCGGTTTATTATTAATGCTGGATTTACAGTGTTTCAGATTGAGCTCATAAGCAGAGCCTCTCTTTAACCCATTCCTCATAAAGACCCAGTGGTGCACTGTTGTTATTGTGTGCAGTGTCAGTTGTGTTTTTGATCCTGTCCACTAACTCAAGCACTTTTCCAAAGCTCTTCACTTGAAGTAGTTTGCACTGACCTGATTCTCTCTCTGGTTTCTCAATAGCAGAAGTGTCTGTTGGACTACAAAACGTTTTTTATACTTTTGTGTTTTTTTCTGCCAATAAAGATAAAGTTGTTTGTATGAATCTGTCTTATGTATTGATTATGTGTTTGACTTACTTCCATATTATTTCCGATTGATCTTTAAAATCTTGTATCCACATTTTCCATCTCAAGTAAAGACAAATGAAACTGAACTTTTACATATACAGGAATGCAGCAATTGTAATGGTGGATATAACGTAGATGGTGGGGTCAAAAAATACATCTTGGAAAAACAATGAACATCAAATTAGCAAAGGAAAATAAATCCTGACTTATACTGTACCCCCATTCCTCTCAAACTTCCAAAAGACTCAATCCTACATTTCCCATAATGCAACTTGATATATTTGATTTAAGCTTAATTACTTCCATTTACAATCTGATATAGCGCAGTCATTATATAACCTTGTATATAAGAGAAAAACAATTGCGTGTAGATGTGAAGTGGCAACTTTAAGTTTGAAAGTACATTACGTTTATGATTTATAATATGTGTTTGTATATTTGGCTCGTTTGAAGTTGGTCAAATCTATGTAGTGACACTACTCTGTGAATATAGAGATCAGTAGTTAAAAAACGTGGACCCGAGTGTACCGTTTATGTTGTAATTTGTGAATGTTATTTCTTGTAAAAAAAGAAGTTTACGTTACTTTGGGCTAAATGCTAATATCAGCATGCTAACATGTGGATGTTTCAAAGGAGCAATGTTTACCCTGTCCTCTCAGTTAGCATAGCCTGTTAGCAAATTGTAATTAGGCCTAGACACAGCTGAGGCTGAAGGTGATTTGTTAGAGTTGGAGATTTCATTACTCGACACATTTACATTTTTAATGCTAGATTTTAAATCAAGGGATCACCAACGTTATTATGATTCATCCTTTTGGGGACAATTCAATACCTATTACTGGACAAACTTGGGTGATGGAGGAGGGCATTATTTTCACCCGACAAAAGGACAATTCCTAGAGCGCATTATTATGTTCAGAGTCACTAGAAATAGCAGGAGCTGCTGAGTCAGTAATCCTGGGATCAGAACAGACATTTATTATCCACTCTGTATGAAAATCACTGCTGGATTCTGGTGTACATCTCGGCTCAAACTGTTATTAAAGTAAAGATATGACACACAACAGCTACTTTTTCCCTAGAGTAAATCCTCAAAGGTAGCAGGGGTAAAGCGTTAACAACAGCAGGACAACAAGTTATTATTTTGGAGTTTCTTTGTGTTTTTACAATATAAAAACCCAATTTTCTCAATCCTTTCGAACACATGTAACCTGGAGGCTCCCATCGCTTCACCAGTGAAAGTGATTATGTGTTTAATTCTAACAGATGGATGACCTAAATTCTTCCAGAGCCTTACCCCTTTTCTCCAAGGTATACTCTCTTTTCTTTTATTAAATATTTATTCTGGTTCAAGTGAGTCAGCTTCCTCTTTGACCTGCGTTGTGTGTTGTGTGTTGTGTGTTTGTGTGTGTGTGTGTGTGTGTGTGTGTGTGTGCGCGCACATGCAGATGGCTAATCTGGCTGATGTGGAAGGGTCAGAGGAGGATAAGATCAGAGTTATGATGAATCAGACGGGCTATGACCCCACGAAGTGAGTCACCTCAGTTATTGTTTTAATCTCTTAAATTCTGTGTCAACATGTCTTAACTTTACTCTTGACTTCCATTACTCAACTTGATCTTCTTTCTGTCTTTTCCATCCATCCATATCTCATTATCTTGCTCTTTCTCTCTCTAGTTACAGCAAGAAGCCTGTTACTGTGCTTCCTGCGAACTACACCTGTTATCGCTGTGGAGGAAGTGGACACCACATCAGGAATTGTCCAAGCACAGCGGTAAGAGCAAGTACTGTTTTTATCAACTAAAAGTAGTAATACTGCAGTGCAGAAATACTCACTAAAGTATTAAAAGTGCCAAAACTGGAAGTACTCATTATGCAGAATGACCAATAAATATGATATCACTGGATTAATGTGTTCTTCGTTGTTATTTTAACCACCTTTAATCACTCTTTTAACTTTCATCCTAATCCATAATAGTATATCCTTATTGTTTCGTTGTTTTGTATGTACAGTACAGTATTTGCTTACAATTGTAGTGTAATAGATGAAAAAAAGTAGCATATAAATCAAATACTAAAGGATACTAAGTCAAGTTCAAATACCCTACAATTAAACTTGAATACAGTACCTAAGTAAATGTGTTTGTCTTTATATTTCATATATCCAGTATTTATTTTAGAAATGTGTGTGTTGATGTTGTTAGCATGTGTCTGTGTGCACTGTATGCTAAGGGGTAGCATGTACTTAGTTGTTGACTGTAAACCCTAGCACTAAATGTTGACGTGTGTGTTTGAAAGCAGGATAAGAGCCAGGAAGCCCCTGTGAAAATAAAGAAAAGTTCAGGCATCCCTCGCTCCTTCATGATGGAAGTGGACGATCCCTCCGTAAAGGGAGCCATGCTGACCAGCTGTGGACGTTACGCGGTTCCTACAATAGACGCGTGAGACAGAAGAGTCAATGTTTGAGTGTCCTTTGTTTTAAAAGATTGGTTTGACAATTTAGGAAATACTCTTTCTTGCTAAGAGTTATATAAGCAAATTAAAACAGCTCATGTCTGTGTCTAATGTACATGCTACAGCCAGCTGCCTGTTAGCTTAGCATCAAGACTGGAAATAGGGGGAAACTACTAGCTTCTTTTCTTATTTATTTTGTTCCCTATCTTAAACTTGAAGCACAAAAAACTTTAGGTGTCGCCTCATATAAATACTTCCCTTCTTTCCCTTTAACTGTTATGGTCACTTGTAAAGAAAGTATTGCACTAATCTTAGGCTCTATCCCAAACATTATTAATGGTAATTGTATTAACAATTCTTTATTTATTTTTTTACGGTCTGTGTAATTGAAAAATGAATGATACTTTACTCTGCAGTTGCAAGTGTTCATTTCCATTTGTGTGACAAAATGTTTTTTAAAATCAAGTAAATAACATTGATACATCAACTTAACTATATTCAAGTACAAACTTAGTTTAAAAATTGTTATGGATTATATATTCATATCTGAGGCACTCTAGTGCAAGTCACCATCAACACACACATAAAAAGCAAATGTGGTGTCTCTGTAGTGAGGCGTACGCCATCGGGAAGAAGGAGAGGCCTCCGTTCGTCCCCCGGGATCATTCGGAGTCAGAGGACGAGGAGGATCCTGTCCCCGAGGAGCTGCTCTGTCTCATCTGTCATGACCTGCTGAGCGACGCTGTGGTCATACCCTGCTGCGGAAACAGCTACTGCGACGACTGTGAGTGTTCACTAAACACACACAGCAAGGAATAAATCAATATTATGTAATATCTCCAGCAAAAAGTAAGCTGAAGATTTTTAAATTTCCATTTTACTTTCTTTTTTTTTTCTTGCTCAGGTATTCGGAGCGCCTTGCTGGACTCAGAGGATCACGTCTGCCCCACTTGTAGCCAATCAGATGTCTCACCTGATAACCTGATAGCCAATAAGTTTCTCCGACAGGTGAAATATTTATTAAAATCAAGTTTTTAGGGGAATTAGGTAAATGTTTTTTAATGTGTGGTCTATGTATCATATATTTATTAATCCTTTATAGATATCCTTTTGCATACTTCTCCATAGTGGGACAAATAAATGATTTTTCAGTGTTGGACTTTTCATAGTTTTTGACTTCAGTATGGAAATGTTATAGTAACTGTTCCTTCCAACCCAGGCTGTGGACACTTTTAAGAAAGAGCGAGGCTTCACTAAAAGTCTGAAGAAAGGATGCAGTGCCTCCCAATCCCAAAATCCAACCCCGACCCTGAGTCCTGCCCTCACCCCGCCCCCTCTCACAGTGCAGATCCAGCCTCAGAAGCCTCTCCTCTTAAACCACAGACAGCAGGTAAACCTCATAATGATGTGTTTCAACAGGGAGGCAGAAATAATGCATGACTCAGGAGCAAAGAGAATAATTACTGTTATATTTGTTCACAATCAGATGTTTGTCGTGAGGGTGTGTGAAAATGTATGAAACAAATTAAGTGAAGTATACTGCAGGTTTTAAGCAGTTTTCAAAAATTTATATTTTCCTGTCTAGATATTATTTAGAATTGCTCGTTATTATGTCGTTGCTGAAGGTTACCCCGAATCCCTTTACTACATCTGATTCCTACTATATTTTCTTGTTCTCTCCTTTCTTTTCGTTTTGTATGATGTGTTTTTTTTATTAAAGGACACATACTGTCATAAAGCAATGTTTTTCCTTCCATTCTTTTTCCTCCTTAAGCCAGATAGAGGATGATGGGAGATTTTTATTGTAGTAAAACAATTTGACATGTGTATAAAAAAAATGCATATTCTACTATATCAGCCTGGTTCTCTCCTTTGTTTAGGACCCTCTCCGCCAACACTCACAGGCTGCAGACACACCGCCATCCTCTCAGGTGCCAACAAGCGCCGTCTCTGCCCCCAACACGCCAAGCACTTCCTGCCAGCCTGTGCAAAGCCACCTGGAGACACCTGAGAAGTACTTAAACACACTCACACAGCAGTATCATCAATATATGGTGCTCTGCTGCCTCCCCTGGTTGTCAAACCTACTTGTGATTTTTAAAGTTATTATTCGTAAGATTTTAAAGTTGATATCCCCTTCTGTTTGATTTCTGAAAAAGCAGATGTTGGCTGGTATTTGGAAGGTGATTTTGGTAATGTTATGCTGTTAATGTGTTATAAATGTGGACAGAGATCTCCATGAAAATACCCTGTGTGGAAAGTGGTTTATATTCACACAAAAATGGCCTCTTAAAAATCTCAATTTGTATTGCATAAAATAAACATTCAGTAGCTCCAATAATTTGGAATAGCCCTTTGTATCCATATTACAGTTAAGTTTTGAGGAATGATGGCAAAGAAGAACGGATAAACAGTCACCCTGATTTGCGTTCATGTGGCGCTGTAACATTTCGGTTGTTTGTTCAGGGAGGCTGAAGAAAAGACAGACGATGACTCAGCAGCTGCTGTCGCCCCGTCTGCACCGGTTTCATCTGAAGAGCTCACTGATGCTCCGTCACAGCTGATCCCACTGGTGAGGACACACACACACACACACACACACACACACACACACACACACACACACACCACACACACACACACACACACACACACACACACACACACACACACACACACTGCAACAACTTCCTCTGTTTTTAATTTACAATGTTTGTATCTGCTCAGGTTAACCTTACTCCAGAGGCAGAGCCGCCGCAGACAGGCCGTGTGAATCAACAGCAGCCCTCCTCAGGTCAGTGACTACATTCAGACTGCGGGCAAACATTATTGTTGCGCATATATGACTGAGATCTGTTTTTTCATCCCAAATCACATGGTATCTGATCTTTTCAATTATGATAGGGGGGCACTTTTATACGTTGTCCCTAATCAGATACAGCTCTTATTCTTTTGCAATGTGACCTCAGTGTAACGGTACGTCCAGCGGCTTTGGAAAAAGCTTGCCGGCGGGCGTGTCTGAAGCTCGACCAACAACCAATCACATGAATCTCCCGCCCCTGACACACAAGCAGCGGTTTGATTGGCTAGAGCCAGGGGCGGACTGGCCATTGGGAATACCGGGAGTTTTCCCGGTGGGCCGGTGCTGTGTGTGGGCCCACATTTGTAAGTGTTCCGGCCCAGCCCAGCCCAGTGGGGTGTGGTCAGGGTTGGGTTGTAACGGAATACATGTAACGGCGTTATGTAATCAGAATACAAAAATCAAGTAACTGTATTCAGCTCGTGTTACATTTGAAAAACGAGTAATCTGATTACAGTTACTTTCGTAAACCTGAAGTGTTTGGAAACCTGAATTTTGGATTACTTATTGGAATTATTGGTGGAAAGATTTCCTCACAACATTTAATATTCATTACTAAAGGTACAGCCGAATCATTCCAGCGCACAAAACCGCGCAGATGGACCAAAAAGGCGAGCGTTTGAAAAAAATGTGCGGGTCCGCTCAGTGAAACAATAACAACATAACAGGAACAAAAGTCTGCGTTTAAATCGTGTGTGTGGTTAAAACACATCAGCCACACCGCTCTTTAGCCTTTCTAATGATTCTGAAGGTAAACACAGTGAAGGCGGTGCGTGAAAGGCGGTGCGTGAAAGGCACTGCGCGCTCCTCTTCTCAGAGGCTGAGTTAGCCCTCCCGCTGCCTCCTGGTGCTGCAGAGATTTCATGAAGTGAAGGAGGTTTTCCTTCTATAAAACAGCTGCGGGCAGCAGATACTGTGAGAGTCACGGACATGAATACATAGATCAAGGCAGACTGGTGCACACACTCTCCTGTTTTGCCAATCCGGTGCTTAAACAAATATAGCTCTTCACCCCTGGCCGAAATGTCCTTAAAATGAAGTCCGAGTTCGACATTTTAATTAATGTCCTGCCAACACTGGCAGGACAGAAGGCGACACGCCCTTTCTAAGCCATGTCCTCACATCCCAAGCTGCATCCCCAAAAAGTGTATTATGTTGTTACAACAGGGTTCAGGGGGAGTGGCTGTACGGCTGTACCCGTAGGATAGAAAAGGGGGAAGTGATGTCTGACTCAGAGGTCGCGCGGCTGTGGAGAAGAACGTGTTGCCCACATTCTGTTACTGAGTTTAGGCTAGTTAGCTAGCAGGTTTATTGTTTTGGGTGCAGTCACTTTTGCCTCGACTTGCTGTTCAAATAAATGTTGAAAGAAAAAGTTAATCTGTTTACAGTTCTGTTTCATATGGGTGTTGAAGAAGAAGAATTGGGAGGGATGAACCCCTCTTTAATGGTCACACATGCAGAGCACACAGCACGCACAGTGAAATGTGTTCTCTGCTTTTAACCCATCCTAGTACCAGGAGTCTAGTACTAGGAGCAGTGGGCAGCTATTGTACAGCGCCCGCGGAGCAATGGGAGTGAGGGGGGAAGGGGGATGTCTGGTGCCTTGCTCAAGGGCACCACGGCAGGAGGTGAACTGGGACCTCTCCAAGTAGAAGTCCACACTCCAAATAGGTCTGGTCGGGGACTTGAACCGGCGACCCTACGGCTCACAGTCCAAGCCCCTACTGACTGCCATAGATTTAGTCCCTAATTTTGCTCTCAAAATGGACCAGATTGATGCATTTAACTTCAACATTTAAAAAACAAATCTTCCCGGGGGAGCATGCCCCCGGACCCCCCTAGAGGAGGTGAGGACCACCACCTGCCCACACCCCTTGTTAAATTGTCTCCCCCACATTGAGGATGCTTCCTACGCCCATGTTTTATTCCATGTGTCAAGTCAGGCAAATTGGGTCAAAATGTTATTGCATCAATGATCTGTTAACATTAAAATCACTAAATATATGCCGTAACTATTTTGCTCTAGGCAACTCAAGGGCAGGAAATGTGATTACTATATGAATAATTGTCCAAAATAACATAAAATGCATAGGGTTTTTTGTTAAGTAACATACTTTCGTCGCCGGCCGGCCGATGCATGCCGCGCATTAAGTGGGCCTGTCTGTCAATTAATCCCCGGGCCACTTTTTCCCCCCAGTCCGCCCCTGGCTAGAGCTTGTACTGGCATATGATTTGATTGGCTGACGCTTCCACCGAAAGCTTCAGAAGATTCAAAAGTTGAACATTGCTCAACTTTTGAATCCTGAGTTGCCTGGAAATCTCCGCTTTGCTTCCCACAATGCAGTTCGGCGAAAAGTGAGGCAAAGTGACGTCACCCCATTCAAAGTGAATGGGCAGAAGCGTTGGAAGATTTTTTTAACGCTGCTGTGTGGACGTACCGTCAGAGGTCAGATCTCCATTCATTAGCCCTGATAACAGCAACACTTTATTTGTTGACAGTGGCTACATCAGATCTTTGCCACATTTAAAATATGCTTAAAAAAGCTGTTTTGAGCACTAAATCCAAATTGAGCCCTAAGGCTTGCAATGTGAAAGTATCCCTCTTTCTGTCAATTTATTTTTATTTATTTATCATTATGTTGAGAACTATAATAACACAACCATTTATTTCTGCAGATCCACCACCAAGACCCTCTGGGCCACCAACGTGCTGGGAGAGGTCAGTGAAGTGTTTGTTTGATTACTTGTCTGTATTGTACCCACTGATTCAATATTGACATGATTTTTCTCCTTCCTCCCACAGCTCCTCTTCCTCCTCAGGTTGTCCCCCGGGAGGCTGGACTGAGCTGAACACCCAGCAGCGCCCTCCTTCCTCCTCTCCATATCCAGCGACTCCTCCCCCCCCTCTCTTCCCCCCCCCTCATTTCCACACCTTCCTCACAGCTCCTCCACCTCTCAGCCCTTACCCTCCTGGATACCCACCTGCCGTCTGGACGCTCCCAAACCTCCCGGGTGCCCCCATCGCTCCCCTGTGCCCCTCCACCTCCATCCCTGCGCTCATCCCCAAGGAGTGGTACATGCAGAGAAAGAAGGAGAGGTACGTCATTACCAATTACACATCACAGGATATTAAATTAGTGAGAACGAATTTGCTGGTTTTATCCTTTACTACAATTTCAGGTAAGAATAAAAAAGAAAAGGTTAAAGTATAAGTGGCGTTATTGAAACATCGAGAATACTTTGTGTATTGGTATTTTCCGATCAGTTTAGTAACAGCTGCCGAGCTATTGTAGTATAAGGAATAATATACTGATAGTAATATGAAATAAAAACTGTTCCTCCTCTATCTTTGTCCTTCAGGTCACCTCACAGAGGATCTTCCCACAGACACACCTCCTCTGGTTCTCATTCAAAGTCTTCTAAGTCCAAGTCTGCTCGCTCCTACTCGCGCTCTTCAAGCAGGTCCAGATCCCGGTCCAGGTCCCAAGGGAGATCAAGGTATTTGTGCCTTTTTTCAAGTTTACCTACTTTTTTTATCGTTTGGATTTCCTTCATAAATGAAAAATAGGTAAAATAAAGAAATCTAGGAATAAATAAAGTGCGGCGACAATGAAAGGTGGGGTATGTAATTTATTTCAGAAACACTTTTTGTTATATTCCATGGAATGCTCTTAACATCCCGATAGCAATGAATACATGAAATGCTTTGACAATAAATACATTAAAAAAATGTAATCTGTGGAAGCCGGCCAATCACCTGAGCCGGCCCGGCTAAAATAACTGGATGGCCTGTCAGCCTTCCATCTGTGCACAAACTTATCTCGTGCCCTCATTGGTCATGTGCGCGTTCGTGTGTGTTGGAGGAGGGGCTCTGTGAGGAAGTCTGAAGGAAGAGGCAGATTTTTTCCGGTTGTGTACTTTCAAATTCTAGCGCACTCGAGCTGGTTTCTCCAAAATTACATACCTCACCTTTAATGAGAAAGAAGTGAGATAGCTAAATACTTCCATCATCCATTTCTGACTTATTAATGTTTTTTGGAAGCTAAAGTTATTAGTTGTGCCTTTTTTTAAAAACAAAAAAAAGACTGTGCGACAACTAAAGTCTTTCTTTTTCTTCTAGGCCCCACTCACCCTACTCCCACCACAGGGACCCCCACCCCCGCTCTACTTCCTCCCGCTCCTATAACTATGGTTACAAACGTTCCCCAACTCCGTCCTCGTCCTCTTCACCTCAAGTGGGTTACCGTTCCAGGTCCAGGTCGCCTTCAGATCACAGCAGAAACAGTCGCCACCAAAGTAGGACATCTGTCTCTGGCAGCTACGACTCCAGGAGGCGAGGAGAGCATCACCCGAGGGAAGCAGGAAGTCACATGTACGATCCGCACGTAAATCAAAGTAGCGGCATGGACCAAGAGCGCTTCCTGCAGTGGAAAAGGGAGTACAAAGAGTGGTGTGATAAATATTTTAGCAGTTATGTTGGACACTTCCACCAGATGCCTATTCCCCTCCTCAGTCTCCCCCATCCTCCTCAGTGGGGGGACAGAGAAGGAAGCAAAAATTACTCGCATGCTAACTCGGATTCTCGCAACCGAGTCCAAGGTAGACGCAGCGCCCGGGTGGACAAACGCTCTCCTCCGTCATCCAGCGACAGCCGCTCCCCTCCATCTCAGTCTTCACTTGACAGCCGTTCAACGCCGTCCCAGACATCCAGCGACAACCGTTCGTCTCAGTCTCATTCGTCTAACGACAGCCGCTCCCCGCACTCTCAGTCGTCCAGCGACGGGCGCTCCACACCATCCGAAGACAGAGCTCAGTTGAAGACGTATGAACGAAGGCGAACTGAGAAGAACAGCCGCCGGCCAATCACACCTCCAAAAAGCAGCGAAGAACCGCAAGAAAAGAGCCAAGATGAAAAGTGGCTACTCAATAGGAATTTGGTAAAACACGAGCAAAAGACTGTGAAGAAACTTAAGGAGGAAGGAGTAGAAAAGTCATCCTCCCCTGACTCAACAGATGACAGAAAGGGAAAAAGGGGCCACACAACTGGACCAAACCCCTTTAAAGATGGCAGCCCAGGACCAGAGAGAGCAACAGCCAACGATGCCTTAGAACCAGTCCAAAAGCTCGTGAAACCAGCTAGACGTTCGGATAAAGACTATGAAAGAAAAGGCAGGGAACAAAGGAGTTTGGAAAAAGGGAAAGAAAGAAGAAGAGGCGAACATTCAGACTCCAGGAGAGATGCACGGAGAAGTCACAAAGACAAGCCCAGCAAAGGGTCAGGCAGGGTGGATAGAGACAGATACAGAGACCCTGAAGGTAAAAGAGCTTCAGGATTGGAGAATATAAAAAGAAAACGAGAAAACATGGAGAGAAATTCTGTAAAAGCTCAAAGCAGCAAATGCCGGAAAGACCCTGAAACTCGCAGCAGTGAATCCCCAATTACATTTGAGATAAATAAGACCGAGAAGAAAAAGGAGAGGAAAACCTGGCCTCTGGCAGAGAAAGACATCTGGGAGGGAGGCATTCAGATGAAACCCCAGAAGAAGATTAGCATCAACATAAACCTGGAAGGTAAAAAGTCTGAATCTGAAAATCTGCACTATTTAGAGAGCGTCACAGGAAAAATAAAGAGAGATATTCAGGCTGGTAATGGAGAGGAGGAGAGGTTAAACAGAGGAGAGACAAAAATTGAAGAAAATAAGGAAACCAGCAGAGACATGGAAGAGGTGTCTGAAGACAAAAGACAGAAATGGGAGAAAGCTACCTTCAGAGATGAAGGAGAGTTGTTCGAGAAGAAACGGGAGACAGAAAAGGAGGATTTTGACTTGTGGAGTAGTTTCTGCAGAGAAGTGGAGGAGGAGAGTGAAAAACATCCAGATGAAAGAGACATGATGGAGGCCAGCAAAGGAGAAGAGGTGTCAAACGAGGAGATGAAGTTAGTCGCAAGTACAAGTAAGGAGATAGTTGAGGGGGAAAGCACATTCAAGGAAAACATAGAAAACCTGCCGGGGAAGTCAAAGGACGAGCTGATGGAGCTACTGAATTGGAGGATGATGCAAGAACAAGAACAGGATACGAGGATGTCCAATTCACAGAGCAGCAAATGCAAGAGCCACCATGACGGACTGAACAACATGGTGGACGATGACAGGTCAGAATGTTTCTGCTTTACTCTTTATCCTACCATTATGCACTATTTCAAAACGGATTAATTGTCAAAAGATGCACAAAAATGACTGTCTTGCTTTGTCAGCTCTAATCTCGGCTCTAGATATGTTGCATTTCCTGTGACTGCTTCACAGTAAAAGCTTTAGTTGACTGCTGGTTTTAACTAGCAGTAATAGGACATACTCAGTTTTTAAAAGCCCCCTGATGCAAAGTAAAAAATGGTTGACTCCACTGTTCGTCGTGAAATTACTGCTGATTTTAATTTCTGATGTAATGTTTAATACAGCAGCTGCGAGGATCATCAAGCGATGAAGACAGTGTTGAAAACTCTGGAGGAATTATCCCAGGACATCGCTGGAAACCAAGAGGACGAGCTCGTACTCACACAGGTTTGTTTGTAAACCCAGATTGTTTAAAATGTGTGAGGGTAAGCGCCTCATGACTTAATGGAATGGAAATTCACATTTAAGCATATATTGCATGAAATCTAAGTCATGCCTCCACTCTCTGTCTCAGGACCCTCACTCCAAATGGGAGAAGGAAGACTCTGAGGAATATCAGTTAGGAAAAGGAGCAATTAAGGTTCAAAATGATGCTCCTGCAATTTATCTGCCTTCACCCTCAGTGTCTGTCACAACTGAGACATCAGTGGAAATTGATAGAAGAACCGAGAAAGATCAAACCCCCATTTTGTGGAGTTCACAGAGAAGTGTGGCTCCCTCTAGTGGCAAAGACAGAACTGACAGAGACGAGGAGAAAAGGATGGAGAGACGGAGGGACAGAGAGAGAGGGAGGGAGAGCGACAAATCAAGGGATAGGCAGAAAGACAGAAAAATATCAAAAGAGAGGAGAAGGGAGCGGGAGAAAGAAAGAGACAGGGAGAGAGGGAGGAGTCATAAGAGTAATCCCCCTTCCTCCTCTTATTCAAACGTCACATGACATGGAGCAGAGAGACAAACTCGTCAAGAAAGCTCCTGAACTGCCTGATCAAAATGTCCACAAGACGTTTATAGACACATTACTGGACTCATCATTAAAAGAGGATCCCGACTTCTACAACAATCACCCAGAAAAGGGAGGAAGAGAGCTGCAGGAAATGGAGAGGCCCAGCAGCAACAGCACCAGCTCATCCACAAGCCAGGAGAATGGCAGGGACGATGCGAGGAAAGAGAAGAAGAAACAAAAGAAGCACACAAAGGAGAAAAGAGAAGCCAGCCCAAAGCTGTGTGAAGAAGAAGAGCTGAAGAAACGGAAGACAAAGACTTCAAAGCAAAGCAGAGATGGAGAGGAAGAGGAGATTAGCGGAGACGTGAACGAAACTATGCTTATGTTGTCTTTACTGTCATAAAAGAAAAATATAACTTACTTGAATTATGTTTTTCCTTTCTCTGTGCAAAAAGTGCCTGGTTTTGTTTTTTCAAATGTATTTTCCCAGGATACATTTAGTAGCGCCTTAAGATAATATCAAATGTGCAGCATCCAAAATGAAAGTGAACAAATTGTGAAGGAAAAGCACTTTATGAGAGAAAATGTATGTGAATGAAAGCAAATGTTTAACTTTTAATTTATTTAAAGGAATTTGCACATACGCTCAACTTGCTCAGGACTGCCACCAACTATGGTTTATAAACTAAACCTGCAATGTTACAGCTTTATTGGAGGAAATCTTACTTTTGGAATACAGGTCAGTCAGTAATATGATTTGCCTCACACAGAAGCACAGGAGTGCATGTGAAGGATATTTAAAAAAAAACGTATTAATGGAATCATAATGTGAATATTTATGATTTGAACCTCTGTGATGTATTTTGTAAATGTTTAATTTAAAATCAACTGCTGGATGGATGAATAATTAACCAGAGGATATTTGAGTTTTTCCTGTTTTGAAGGAAATAAAAAAAAGTAACATCCATAAATTGTTGTTTTTCTGCCACTGCACCCATTAGTAAGTAAAAGTAATATTATCGGATTCACTGAAACAAAAGAAACCATTTATTTTAAGAGACTTTTATTTTGCAACACATTTTCAATTAATTAGGCAACAAACTTTTGTATTGATGCTAGTCTAGTGGTATGGCTCTAGTTAGCAAGTGCTAGCATGTTAACTTAAAGGTGGGGTAGGTAAGTTTGAGAAACCGGCTCGAGATACACTTTTTGTTATATTCCATGGAATGCTCTTAACATCCCGATAGCAATGAATATCTGAAGTGCTTTGACAAAAAATCCATTAAAAAATGTCAATGGTGGAAGCCGTGGCGCTGTAAAAAGCACCACCAATCATCTGAGCCGGCCCGGCTAAAGTAAATGGATGGCCTACCTGCCTGTCAGCCTTCCATCGGGGCACAAACTGATCTCGTGCACTCATTGGTCATGTGCGCGTTCGTGTGTGTTGGAGGAGGGGCTCTGTGAGGAAGTGGCAGATTTTTTCCGGCTGTGTATTTTCAAATTCTAGCGCACTCGAGCTGGTTTCTCCAAAATGACCTACCCCACCTTTAACTTAGTTTTTATGTTGCGACCATGACACAATAACAAACATTACAAAACAAAGAAGTTGTATTGGAATAAAACCGAACAAACATTTTTATTTTTAGAGTGTTTAAGGGTTTTAAAAGTGTCAAAAAATGTAGAAGATGCTAATGTTAGCATGCCAGTATGATGGCACCTGGTTTTGTCACTTTAATTTAATTAAAGTGGATTTAACAAACAGCCACAAAAACAAACATTCAAAAAACATCAGCATGGTGTATATGCAGACAAACTGAGCACAAAAAAAGTGTAAACAAATCTAAAAATGTAGAAGATGCTAACATCTTAGCATGCTAGCAAGGCAAGGGGCCTTTTAATGACTAGCACAAGGGTTTCCCCCATTTATTTAGGTATACTGGTACTGCAAAAGACAACTGTATTGTACTTATATTCAGTGTTAGTCTGACTTGTGTGTTCAAAGAAGAAGCTGTAGGCCTATTGCCCTCTGGAAAAAGCTATCGTTTCCCTTTACTTCTTTCCTGGCAAAGCAACAAGGGAAGTGGAAGCACATGACTAAAGTGTGTATGTTTTGGACGGATTCACAAAACTGTATACATTCTTAAATTGGTATTGTACATTTACATCTATTTGATGTGATGTAGTTTGGTCTCTGTTATTCAGATGTAATTATTATTGGCAAATATCTGCTTTGATCCTTTTGAGCGATAGCATTATGGCAGTGGTCCTTGGTATGAAACAGTTTGAGAAACACTGCATTATGGCACCTTACTGCTGGACTACATTAAAAACAAGAAGGCTGCAAAAACCTTCAAAAAATAACATGTTAAAGTAACGTTGAAAAAAACCGTGACGTCACAAAGTGGCTGTGGTCGGCTCTGGTCAGCGCCAAACAGGAAGTTAAGGTAAGAGTTTCAGATAGATTTTATTTTTAAAAGGTTATGACATTTGCAAGAACTCACATATGTCCAAACAGAACCACAGTGAGATTTTAATAACACTTAAGACTTTTAATGATTTATGACCAGAATCCAAGAAGCTAGCTAGCTAAACTGCTAATGCTAATTCAACTATGTATAACTAGGCCTATTCTTCCTTGGCATGTACAACTTTCAACCAAGTTTTATCTAAAACAAATGGAGTCAGTATGTTCTTCTTGGTGGATGTAACAGTTTATTTTTACCCTATAAGCAGTGATCAAAATGTCAGATTTTTTTCTTGTTTTCTGGTTAAAAAAACATTCATTTTGAGACTAAATCGTGATTATTAACTTGTCTCTACAGATAATAAAGAATGGAAGGAGTGATCCCTAAAATAACATGTTCGTTATCTCTGCACTCTTTTTTTGTATTTGTTCCTCGGCTTATTTTTCATCCTTTCAATCCAATCTCCAATTCCTCATCCTCCTCTTTGTTCACCCTTTATTTCAGATACCATGCTAGCTTCCGATCCACCCAGACATCCCCAAATCTCAGACACTCGCCAAAAACTGAATGCAACAACACCCCTCCTCCACTCATCACTTACATGCCAGGTAAGGACGCCCACGTGCAAGAATAATATTTTCTTCCTTGCACCGTGATCCTGCAGTCCCTAAAAATGCACTAAAACATTAATGAAGACATCAGAAAAACACAATTAAACCGTAACAAAGACGCCTAGTTTTCCAGCTGTTTGACTTGCTGGGCTTTCTTTTCATGATGTAGCTGGGAACATGTTGAAATAAATATGAAAGACGTGTTCAATATGCCTGCAGTCTGTGCTGGCTCGGGCTGTGTATGAAAGTTGATGCTTGAAGTGCGTCCAAGCTTTTCTAGCTTCATTAACTCACTATAAGCAAGACATGGCAGAGATCCAGCTCCTGTCTCTTCTCTGTTTTGCTGTTGCGACTACAGTCACTCAATGTCGTGCCAAGGCATGCTGGGATTGAACAAGGGATATCTGGTCGGTGTGGAATACCCGACTTGGCTTGTGTCCAAACATGGACGGAGGGGTGCCTGTGCATCTCTTAATCTTGTATCATCTCCTATGCTTATAAAAAAAAAGGTTTCATCTCCAATTGGCTTGTTGTGCATTGCTGCATGTCATCCAAGATGGCTGCTTAACTTCTTAAAACATGTCGCCCCTACTTCCTGCGGGGTCTGTGTCCCTTTTTTGCTCTATGGCGTCTGACTGCTTTTGTGCCATTGAGCCCTAACATAGTTTTCTGTGTGTGTGTGTGTGTGTGTGTGTTTGTAGAGGGGGAACACTGCAGACAGACGGACAGACGGAAAAAGAGACTGTATGTGGCAGTAGATGACATAAGATACAGAAAAACTAAGACACAAAACACTAGTATTACATGCAGAGACAGACTCCCATACAAATGCAGAGAGACACATCCAGACAGACAGGTTGTCACACAGATAGAACAATACACTGCATATTAAGATGTAAAAAACACCAGGACACTGTCCCAGCGAAGCACAAAGGCACATTATAAAAAATGAGACGTCAGACAGACAGGTGCAGACAAATGCACAGACAGACAGAAAGACAGACAGAGCCTGTAGCAATCAGGAGAAACATCCCTCCTGCTCTCCCTGTGTGGCGAGGATCAGAAACGAGGTACGCTTTCCTTCATCCTTTATTTCTCTGTCGTGGTCTGCGCATTGTTTCTTCCTCTGTGTTTATTGTAGCCTCTTTCATTTTGTTTTGTCTTTCTTTGTTTTTTTTTTGTTTTTTGTCTGGGTTTCCTTCGCTCCTTTGTGCCCATGATGCGTGCCGACGTGTCAGGGCGCCGTGCCAACGCTGCCTGATGAAGACCAGGCGGTGGCTGCCCTTGTTTGTGTGTGTGTGTGTGTTTGTTGATGTATGCCGATTGGCTTGCTTTGGGGCCGGGGGCAGCTGCAAACACTTGTTTGTGGCGTCACATCCACGTGGGGATTAAGAAGGACTCGCTGCCTGTCTACACTTAGACAAGTCTTACTTTATATTTTTGTGTTAGGAAATGAAAAAGCATATTAAGTATAGCAAACGGGGAAAGCAGAGAGTTAATGAATCATTTATACAATATGTAAATCAATTATGTACTTACAACCATGGACTGTTTTTGTAAAAAATCTGTCTTATTACATTCAAGGTCACTCCAACTAAATTCCTTTATGATTTTCACACTTAAATGTCAGTTAGGTAAAAGTACATTAGCAAATTGTACTTAAAATATCAAAAGTAGTCATACTTCAAGAAAAGTGTTACACTATTTCTATTACACCATATTGTTAGACTAGCATTAAAGTGAACGCAGCATTTGTATTGTTATAGTTAGTCAAGCTGGAGCTAACTAACGTTTCATCCATAAAAACACATCATATTCTATATACTAGCTACTGTATATGTTTCATACATAAAAACGTAATCTGTAAACTCTCAGATAAAACTAGTGGAGCAGAAGTAAAAAGTATCCATCCATCCATCCATCTTCTCCCGCTTTTCCGTGGTCGGGTCGCGGGGGTAGCAGTTCCAGCAGAGAGCCCCAAACTTTCTTTTCCCTGGCGACATCAACCAGCTCTGACTGGGGGATCCCAAGGCGCTCCCAGGCCAGCGAAGAGATATAATCCCTCCACCTGGTCCTAGGTCTACCCCTTGGTCTCTTCCCAGCTGGACGTGCCTGGAACACCTCCCTAGGGAGGCGCCCAGGTGGCATCCTAACTAGGTGCCCGAACCACCTCAACTGGCTCCTTTCGACGCGAAGGAGGAGCGGCTCAACTCCGAGTCCCTCCCTGATGACCGAACTTCTCACCTTATCCCTAAGGGAGACACCAGCCACCCTGCGGAGAAAACCCATCTCGGCCGCTTGTATCCGTAAAAAGTATCATGAAATTAAAATACTCAATGGATGTACAAGTGACTCAAACTTGTACATTTATCCCACAACCTAATTGAGTCACAACGTTACATCCACACTCCGAGACCATGGTCAAAAGACCCTAAGAGTTGCATTTAGATTGCAAAACAGTTTAGATTATGATATCCTCAAGAAAAGATGTACTGTATTGATATTTCTCTATTGACAGACGGAGCATACTGTAAGGCTGAAAAAAGTGATGCTTTGGGGTCAATTTGATGGTTCAAACGCCTGCCAGATGACACATTTATTTATGACATAACATGCCCAGTAGGTATATAGAGCCTACATCTATTTATTTTCGTAAGGAATATTATGAATGGGGGAACAATAGTGATTTAATGTGACATTTGTACACTTCTGAAGTACAGTTTACATCCAGTTATTTATGTTAGAGAGAAAGAAATAAGAAGAATTTGGTGAAAGGAATAATGTTTATGTGAAGGTCAGAGAGTATGTGCCTTGCTCAAGGACTCCAGCACTGTAAGTGTCTTTGTGATGCATTCAGGAGACAGAACACATGGTTTATTTTGATGTTTCATTACT